TCTCACCGAAGCGTTGTAAACCCTATCTTTTATGGTCAGACTAACGTTGAAGCGGCACCAAAGGCGCCCCATATTGACGTACGCCACTCTGGATTTCGATATGCCTTTAGAAATTTCATCATACACCAGCACTCACATAACTTTTCCACCACTTCCAATGGTTTATCTCCGAGGCGTGAGCGCAGGCATAGTAGATTTGCAAATCTTTCAAAGTACTTTCATTTCGTTAGTGCAAATTACTCTACTACTCAATCATGCATATATCTATTTGATACCTGCATCTCCAACTCAGTGAAAAAATGTTTGATTAATTAACTCACTTTCAAAGGCTAACCTACTTGTTGCCTCCTATTTGTTATCATTATTTATTAATCGTTATTAAAATTAAGCCTTTCACCGGTCTGAATATAAATTCCAATATATATTTCTTCTTTTACCGTATTTAGGTAACCCTTTATGATTTGGATGGTGATGCTGTGGAAACTTTAATTGATTTTTGTTACACTAGTCAAATAATAGTAGAAGAATGCAATGTTCAAAATCTGCTTCCTGCTGCTTGTTTATTACAACTTACCGAAATCCAGGATGTCTGTTGTGAATTTCTAAAACGTCAGTTAGACCCATCGAATTGTCTAGGCATCCGAGCATTCGCAGACACACATGCATGCAGAGGATTATTGCGCGTAGCTGACAAATTTACACATTTAAACTTCCTTGTAAGTTTGGTTGTTATTTCCTCACTTGTTTTTGAAGCATAAAAAGTACTTTTAAAAGTCATAAAAGGTATAAAATGAAAGTGTTATTCACCCTAGGCGCATTATTGTTCATGCATTTGAATGAATTGGAAATGTGATGAAAATACAGCAATAACTTTCAGCTTTGTGAGTTTATTCCACAACATACTTGAGTAGCTTTAGGAAAAAGAAAGAAATATTCAAATGAGTGATCGTATTCACCGTCCCCAACCCCAAGACTTCACCTAAACCACTCAGTCTTTTTGAATCAAACAAATGTTATATAAAACAAACAATTCAACTAATGGAATAGATGGATTGATTGGTTTTTTACTTTATACATTGACTCGTCACTGAAGAGCAACCAATCTCATTGTATCTAGTCTTGAGTCTAGATTGAATTCTACCGATCATTTTGCAGTGTGGCCACCATGATTGGAGGTCCACTATTGCGGTGCACTTCGATGGATGTTAGATGGATGAAGCCAGTCGTCAGGAAGCCCCGAACCTAGGTTTCGTGGCTGTTGGCACTCCTCAGCATGGCGTATCTGCCACCTTGAGGGAGCTGATATCCCCTGTGAGATTCGAACCCGGGACAGCCAGCGATGTTATCACTGAGCTATTCGGACAGTTTTCATGGGGTATGAAAGAAATGCTGACCGATAGGATTAGTTGGCGATCATGCTGATATCACACATTGACAGAAATAGAAAATAGTGAACTATTCAATTCCAATTTATTGACAAGATGATACTGATACTGAACTCGTGAGGCTGTGCGTGAACACTGCTGAGGAGTTGCCAACTATGACGAAACGGCTGTTCAGTGCTTCTTCAGTTGATTTCAGTCCCTGACGAAAACTATCCGTATAAAATTTGTCACTTTAGTGGCTACTGTTCAACGGACTGGTCAATTTTTAGCACTTGAAAGCTGCATTGGTGACAAAACTTGCTTTGTAATTCTTTTATTACATTTAACACATAGCGAAATAGTATTATTTACCGGTAAATATAGGAAAAGAACTATAATGGAATTATATTCTGCCACAGTGCCTCAATTATGTCTTCATATTAATTCAAGACTTTCTACTGTGGTTGACTTTCAATGACTTACTCTCGATCAGTTGGCGCCACCTTAACTCAATTATTCGACTTCCATATCACAGTGAGTCAACCTGACGAACAAAGTTAACATAGTACCTCACACATAGGAGCATACGCTCAATCTGACACACTTCAAAGTGGTCTACAAAGAACAAGTGGATGGAGAGGACAAAATAGATAAAGTTGTGTGAAAGGATAAAAACCATGAAAGCAAAGGTTAGTGCAAGCTTTGAAAGATATCAAGGACTGAATACATCACCGTTGTGACAGATTTTTAGCCATATCACCAAGAGACCTCAATCAACTGATTCCTTTCGTCTCGGGACCCCAACCAGACAGTCTACATCTCGCCACACAACTCAAACCACGAGTTAGAGACCTCTCTGACTGGTTCCATATCTTCATCTTACTAAATTGAACCCTCTTCCAACCTAATCCAACTTCCTTCGGCATGGCACGTCGAGTTAGGTGGTGAGTTGGCATGCGAAGTATATGTTCAAGCTATCTCAGTCGATGAAGGTTCACAACCTCATCAGTCGACTTGCCTGTTTTGCCTGGTACACTTCTAACCTTGACACTGCTAGCAGGAGGATTTCACCAAACGCGAACAATGCTATGAAGACATTTATGATCAGAACCTTGTGATCGCTTCGTGTCTTCAACTTTTAACAACCATGTCTCAGCAGTACAACAGGACAGGACGAACTGCAGCGCAGAATACTTGTTGATTAACAGATGGTTAGATATCTCGCCGCCGCCGCAGATGATACAGGTTGGCAAACACCAAACGGGCCTTTTGTATTCGAGCTGAGATTTCGTCAACTAGCCCGTTCGAACTGACCCAACTCCCCAATTAAGTGAAGATGTTGATACATTCCACCACTTCACTCCTTATCATCAAACCAGGAGTATTTTACAGCAGACCAGTCCTGGAGTATCATCTTACATTTGACAGGTGCAAAATGTATACCAAACATACTTAGATTTGTGCTAAACGCGTTTTAGAAGACCCTGAATTTCATCAGTGTCTTCACCAAGCAGTATAATATCGTCCAATTCAACCAGATGACCTCCAGGGAGTAGGTCAATCCCTGTGAAGTCAGACGTACCTAAGGTTGCGTCTATTAGTACGTCTATGATGAAGTTGCATAGGAACGGTGACAGGCGGCATTTCTGGCGGACACCACTAGTTGTCGTCCGTTCACATGACAACTCTCCATAAGGCCTGGAGCGGTTATGTGAGTTCGAGTTTATTGTTTTGATTAGCGTTGTATATCTTCTCGGTACTCCCTTCCCAGTCAGACACTGCCACACCACCTCGTGGTCGACAGAATCGAATACCGCCTTCAGGCCAAGAAATACAGCAAGTATTGTCCGCCGGTAGGTATGCTTGTGTTCCAGAACCTCTCAGAGTGTAAAAATCCGATCTATATATCCTCTTCTAGGTTTGAAACCTACCCGGTTTTCTCGAGTTTGCTGTTAAACGTCGAATAACTATGTACACGTTATTAGTCAAACTAATTCCCCTATGGTTGTTACAAGGAGATTTATCCCCTTTCATATAGACTGGGATTATCAGTGACGGCACTGCACTGACGGCACTACCTCTGATTCCTATACACTAACTAGTAACGTCACTTTAAGCAGAAGTTTTCTGCCTCCATTCTGAAAAACTTCTTGTGGCAAACTGTCAGGTCCTCCTGCTTCGCATTATCTCAGGTTCGATACAGCTTTCACAACTTCAAAAATAGTCGGAGGACTGATATCTACGTCCCATTCAGGTTCAGGCTGGATATTGAGCAACTGAAGCACTTCTGTATAGATGTAATAATAAACATGACCATAGGGATCACTGACTCCATAGGAATTGACTTATTTGTTTTATTCCTCGTAGTTGACTCGGTGCTGACTGCCTCAACGTATTCTGCTCAGCGTTCTAGGCGACAATCCTGGGAGGTTATTAGGGTACCATCATTTTTGGTGATGGTTTCACTCACCACCGTCTTCGTGGCGGTATCCTTAATAAGCTTAAATAGTTGCCGGGTGCTACCTGATACCGATGCCTTCTCCATTTCTCTCTCTTTCGCCACCCACCACTACTCGCAACCATTGCGAAAACTTGGTTAGTTTACGTTTTAGTTGCTTTCGCTCTTCATCATGATCAGAGTCAGCTCGAATCAATTTTCTCTCATCAACCAGTTTAGATGACGTTGCGAAAATCCAATGACGTTTGCAAACCTTTGGGCGTAGGTTACCAACTATCATTGTTGCTGTTTTTACAGCCGGCTTATTTCAACGGCAGGTTTTTTCAGGATGAGCATTTCTGTCACGTTCAGATAGATGCTTAACTAACTCCCCTCTAAATGCGTACTTAGGGTTTTCGTCTTCCAACCGAGCATAAACAGGCTATACTGTCTTTCGCTTCCTTCGACCAGCAAGGTGCAGACATACACGAGCTTGTATTAGCGCGTAATCGGAGTCCAAACAAGTACTCAAGAAAGAGGGACACTCCTCCAAAGATGGCGTATATCAATGGGATCTATCGGTGTCTATTGTTTGTTTGAAGTCGGTGAACGCCATGTGAGACAGTGTCTCCCCTTATGCTTACAGTTAGTTCTGGCCAGAAACAAGTGATTGTCGGAACAAACTTGCAACATACAATCATCATTGTTGTTTCGTTGGCATAGGATTCTGTAAATACCCCCAAGGATGCCGCTCCGATCGACTCAGCTTCGCTACTTTAGTGTTAAAGTCACTTGCGATTATGACTACATCTGAGCGTTTTACTTTCTGTAGAAAAATTGACAGCTTTTCCTAGAATTCATCCTTTGCATCATCCGAACTGCAGTTGCGGTTGGGTAAGACGTAAAAGACTTAATATTAGTATCAAGAAGTGGATGCAAAGGAATAGACAGACTTGAGGATAGGCTATATTGGATTGGGTCTTGTATACTACTGGCAGCGTACGGGCGGTTGACATGTCCCAGCTGCCCACACCGTGGGAAGCTGTTTCTTCTTTAGGTGCCTGAAAGAGTAAAGGATTTGCGTGGTCGCAGAGTTTATTGAACATGTGCTCGAGGTCTATCACACGCGGCCTTTTTGGGGTTGTTGCTGTGAGGTTTGGTTGTTCTAACGCCGCATAGAAAGGATTCACCTCTCCGGCTCCAAAAGTTTGTGGGACAGGGTGGAGTGTGTCATTTTGGGGGCCGACCCTTTCTAATCCCCTCATTCTATTGGGAAGGCAGCATCAGCGTGGCACTTTTAATCACCCACGAGAAACACCTTACTGCTGTCACACTCCATCTAGCTAGCAGCAGTATGACTTCGCTCTCAGACCTCCATCATTTTGTGGTAATTTACACCACAACGGTAACTACTTTTCTTCTTACCCACTATCCAACTGACTTTGCTGGCATAGTAGGACCTCTAGAGAACAAGCCTTCCACCCAGTGCAGCTCGTTGGGTCAATTTGATATGCAAGTCCGACCACCACGTAGAGCCAGCAGCTATCTGTCGGGCAAGGATTCAACCGACTGTGTTGTCTGGATCGCTCGTTACCTAAGGTCCAGCCATGCCATAAAGGTCTGTTGCGTAGTGGTAAGACAAAAAGCAGTTACGGTGATTATGTAAGTAGCTTCGTTATCATAAAGATTCAGCAGTGAATTCGTACTGCCGACTGGATAGATTTAAAAGCAGTAGTGTTTCATGCCGATGACCAACAGTACCATGCCGACGCCGTCTTCTCTATGGGAAAGGGTCTGTCCAAAATAGCACACTTCACTCTCCTGCTGTATTCCTGTGCTGGCGCTTTAGGTTTTTCTAATCTGACGTTAGCACAACCAAATATCAAACCAACCATTCTGAAAAAAAGTGTAACAG